TTTCAATAAAGTCAACAGGAATTGCACACACAGCTTCAGGAGTAGACGCAGCCCATCAACAGAAAATAAAGCATAAGCTATGAGGAAAATTGAAAGGTTTGGACAACACAGTAGCTAAATAATCACGGGTTTTTTACAAACGGTAAGGCTCACAAAATTTATGTGTGCAAAAATGCATGTTTGAAATAGGATAAGAATTTTGCACCATTTCCTATGCAGAGAGGGATGGCAAATACAACCCAGTCAGTCAGCCTGAGAAAGTAGTTTGGGACTTCCTACCATGATGGAGCAGCAGAAGTGAACACGTAGATGGGGGTGAGCAATAAATAAATCTTGCTGAGATTCCTGCACCTCAGTCAGGGAGGATTTGTTCTTCATGTAGTGGCATTAGATTGCTTTATGGGCTTTTCTTCCCCAGATAAGGTGAAGAATGAAGGGCACTTTCAAATTTAAGCCCCCAGGGACCATGCAGACTGGTTTGTGTTAGGTAGTCATGTATGGTGGAAAACTCCATGGTGCTTTGCAAGCCAGCAGATAAGCTGCATAAAGAGGCCCTTTCTCTTACCACTGAAACACAGCACTCTTTTATTTCAGCTGGGGAAGAGTGCAAGCAACATTTCACTGCCACCTCAGGCAAAAAATGAAGCATGCTTCTGTAAACCCGACAGATCCTGGCATGAAGCAGAGCTGCTGGCTGTCCCGATGTCAGCGCACAGCAGGTGAGCAGCATGCTCCTCACCCCATGGCACGCAATGCCACCAGCTGGCTTCTTGTCAAAGGCTGCCACAACAAGGTCATGTAAGATCACCGCTTAGGGTGACATGCTGAAACCATGCAAATAGGCATGCATACAGATGACATCAGCTCAGTTGATGCATGGCAGTGATGTCCCACATCAGCTATTTGCCTCATGGCTAACCTGCTCCCAGGTACCTGTAGAGGAGCAAGGTGAGGAGGGACACGCACTGTTCTATCCCTACTCTCTGCCTCAGATAACCACTCAGGTTCTGTTGGTGAGGAACAGCTGCTGAAGTTCCCATCCCAAGTTGAAATGGCTGGAGGTGAGCAGTTCTGCCTCCCAGCCATGCCTCTGAGGCAGCAATCTATGGCAGAGGTGATGCACTCCAGAGGCATCTTTCATTACTGCTGCAAGAAGCTCATATTCAGGTTCCTGCTTGGTTAACTCTTTGAAGAGCAACATTTCAGCTCTGTGGTGAAACACTGGCATGGTGAAAGGTCTGAAAAGGGCAGAGAGTAAGATGACTCTTTCTCCTGGACAATCACGAAGGGTCTGGAGCACAAATTTCACATGGAGTGGCTGAGGGAACTGGGATTGTTTACTATGGAGAAGAGGAGGCTGAGGGGAGATGTTATTGCTCTCTACAATGACCTGAAAGAAGCTTGTGGTAAGGTGGGGATAAGCCTTTTCTCTCAAGTAACAGCAATACTATGAGAAGGAATGGCTTTAGGTTGTGCCAGGTTCAGCTTGGGTATTAGGAAAAATTTCTTCTCAGACTGAGTGGTGAGGCATTGGAATAAGATGCCCAGGGAGGTGGTGAAATCACCGCCTCTGGAGGTGTTCAAGAACCGTGTAGATGTCATGCTGAGGGACATGGTTAGTGGACATGGTGGGGATGAGTTGACAGTTGGAATGATCTTAGTGATCTTTTCCAATCTTCGTGGTTCTATTATTCTATGAAATCTGGAAGAACCCTAAGCTTTCTACACTGTGAAGTGTTTTCATGAGTCATTCAGTGCTTCCTTTTAGGGGCTCTCACCTATTTATGCAACAAAAAGCAAACAGAACTTCTCGTTATTGGTTTAATGATGTCATTGCACAGCTAATTTGTTTGCTGCAAATCTTTGCAGGCTTTAAATTTGCAGTCCAAGTTCATACAAGGTTTGTAATTTATACTCCTGAGAGGCAGCACCAATTCACACCAGTCATCTCAGCGTGTCCTAAATGGAGGACTCCAGACATGTAACAGAAAAAATCCCATTAATAAAGGAAAGTTCCATTGCTATGAGATTTCTTGCCTCTGGTATAAAAAGCTTCTGCATTGGAAGGGTCATGCAACACTGGAGCAAGTACCCAGAGACACTGTGGCATCTCCAGCCATGAAAGTTTCCAAGATTGAGCTGTACAAAAAAACTGTGGCTGATGTGACCCAACATGTGTGATATCCCTGCTTCAAGCAGGAGGTCAGGCTAAAGCTTTTTGCAATCTACATTTCTACAATACTGTGACATCTTGCATCCTCGATATATTTCTGTTGCAAAGATTTTTCCATGCTAAAAAATGAGAGATCAAGCAGATTTGCATGGGCTGAATGTATAGTTGATTTTTAAACCATCCTTAGATGAAAACTATGAGCATTTGAGAGGCACACATTGATGGACTTGTGCTGATGTATACAATACTGAGGGCTTTTTAGAAGACCCTGGCTGCAACCACATGCCATGATGCCAACTCTCTTACTACAGAGGAGAATGTCAGAAAGGGACAGTTGACCTTTAAGTCTGCAGCACAATTGTGTAAAATTTCCCTTCACAGTGAGGAGCTAGTCAAATGTCACCATTCACTGTAGAACCGGTCAGAGCACAGGGCGAAGCTGCTGCCTTTTTTGCACTACAGCTCTGAAACAAGACATTTGTGTTTTTCATCTCTTGTTCAGGAAAGCAGCTTTAGCATTAAGTCTCCCTCTGCAAAGCAAATGGAACTGGAGATTTCACTTGCTTTCAGATCTCTGTAAAGCAGAAAATATCTTATGAAGACTGCCCGTGACCAAGGTGGCTGCCAACGCTGAGTCACAAGTTATTCCACGTGATGATGGGCACTGTCATCCAAAGTCATTTTCAGATACCGCAAAATGATTTCCTTGCAGTGGAGTAACAGTTGTTGAGTGTTGTAGGCTCTTTCATGTTCCAGCTGCCTCTTTTACCTTCTCATTGAAAAGCATCCTCTGTTCATCCAGGTTATGAATCAAGCTTCACATTCATCTCCTACACTGCTCTGAACCAGTGTGACTAATGCTTGCCCTTTAAGCATCCGGTGACACTTAACAAACTTGTCTGCTACAGACCAAATTTACTTCAGGAAAGGCAAGCCTGAATTGCCCTCGCAGCATAAAGCACTTTACTCATCTGATTCCCTGCTCATTCTAAACATTATAACATTGAATTGTTCTCATAGTTCCCAGGATATGTGTATGTGCACACACACGTGTGTAGGGATCAGACAGAATCATAGAAACATTAAGGTTGGAAAAGACCTCTAAGATCATCTAGTCCAACTGTACACCTATCACCAATACTGCCCACTAACATCAACACGTTTCTTGAACACCTTCAGGAACAGTGACTCCACCACCTCCTTGGGCAGCCTGTGCCAATGCCTCACCACTCTTTCTGAGTTTTTTCTTAATACTCAACCTGAACTTCCCCTGGTGCAACTTAATGCTATTCCCTCTCATCCTAACACTGCTACCTGGAAGAGACCAATCTCCAGCTCACCACAGCCTCCTTTCAGGACATTTCAGAGTATGATAAGGTCTCCCCTGAGCCTCCTTTTCTCCAGACTGAACACTCCCAAGTCCCACAGTTGCTTCCCGTAGGACTTGTGCTGCAGACCTTCACAGCTTTGTTGCCATTTTCTGGGAGGATAGAAGCAGAGAAGTTAAAATAAAAAACATGCACAGTGGGTTCAAAGAGTGTTTGGTTTACTTTTCTATATGGAATTCTCTAAAATGAAGAGGCACAGCATTTCAGAACCTGGCTTTAAGACAGCTTTGCCATTCACAAAATCTGGCTTGAATGGAGGAGTCTCAGCAGATGTTATGAACCAGCAGCTTCAGAGTGGGTGGCAAAATTAGACAGAATCAATCTTTCCATCCCTCGGAGCAGACACAGCAGCAGGTGTGGGTGGGGACTGAAGATGCATCACAAGGGAACACAAACAGCCTATTAAAAAAAAATCGTTTTAGGGATAATTGTTGCCAACACTGACATAATGCTCATGCTGTCTGCAAAACTATTGTCCCAGAAAACCCCTCTTAGCCTAGAGGAAGCCTAGAAAAGAATAAGCATTGAAAATATAGTAAACCTTTCCTTTAAATTTCCTTCTATCTGTAATCAGCTTGGTTATGAATTAAGCACTATGGCAAAAGCCAAGCCCCACTAAAAATGAAAAAAAAAAAAAAACACCTCCAATTATTTTGCCACTTCTTGAAAATGTATCTTCTCAATACCCTGAGAATCATCCCTCTGCTCCTCAAGGAACATCACTGTGGAAGTGGCTCTGCTGATCTCAACTCAGAGGTAGGTAACAGTAGCATCCTGTATTTTGATGCAAACAGGAATCACAGTAGGGAAATGTGAACTCATTAACTTCTGCTACGCCGAGAGCGTGAGATGCCATCTTATATTCTGTAAGTGTTAGTGAATGTGGCAAAAAAACTGTGCATCTTCAAACCATCCTTTTTGTCAGATAGGTTATTGTTCAGTTCCTGCAAAGCCAAGAGCAAATTTTGCTAACGTGATCAGATTACAAGGAGTCTCAAATCGTTCTGTGATGTAGGAGCTCATCCTTGGGTGTATGAGTGAGCAGCAGATCTACTAACCTATCTGGAGTAAAGTGATCTTTTTCTTTGATTAAAGAAGGTCTTTTATAGACAAATAAGATGTGTAAAATCTCTCTTGCACCTTCCCCTGTGTGTCCCCACAATATCTTCAGTGTGAGCCTTTAATAGTGCTCAGAAGTGTGTTAACTGAGCCACAAAAGACCTAGAGAGTGGCTGTAATTTTTTGTGCTGCAATTTTTTGAGCGACAGCCTGAAAAATGCATGTTAAGTACTGTCATCGGAAGAAAGATCTTTTCTCATTGCTTGGAGGGTAAGCGCATGCCTGGTCAAAGGAACATCCCCTCTTAGAGACCTAGACAGTACATTACCTCTTTAATGGCTCTCATAAATCCTCTGGACGCAGTCTTGTTACCTAGGTAATGAACAACTGACATCATTTAACTGAACTTATATGTAAAGCATTTGATACTGTCCCACACGAAATCCTTGCCTCTGAAAGGGAGAAAGGTGTGTGTGATGGATGGCTATTTGATGGACAAGGAACTGGCTGTACAGTAGCACTCAAAGAGTTGTGATCAAGGGTTCACTGTCCAGGTGGAGATCAGTGATAAGTTTTGTTCCTCAGGGGTCTGTATTGGGACCTATACTATTTAACATCTTTGTTGGTGACAATAGCAGTGGGATTGAGTGCATCCTCAGCAAGTTTGTAGATGACACCAAACTGTGTGGTATGATCAACATGTTGGAGGGAAGGTGTGCCATCCAGAGAGACCTGGACAGGCTTGAGAGGTGTAAGCCTCATGAAGTTCAACAAGGCCAAGTGCAAGGTCCTGCACCTGAGTCAGGTCGATCCCAAAGATGAATACAGACTTAGAGATGACTGTCTTGAGAGGAGCCCTGCAGAGAAATAGTTCTTGGAAACAGTGGCAGATAAAAAGCTCAACACAAGTCCATTGTGCACTTGCAGTCCAGAACAGCCCAGAAAGCCAACCATATCATGGACTGCATAAAAAGAAGCATGGCTAGTAGGGAGAGGGAGGTTATCCTGTCCATTTGCTCCGTGCTGGTGACACAGCATTTAGCTCTGGGGCCCCAGCACAAGGATATGGACCTCTTAAGGCAGGTCCAGAAGAGGACCATGAAAATGATAAGAGGGCAGGAGCACCTCTCCTGTGAATTGAGGCTGAGAAAGTTGAGATTGTACAGTCTTGAGAAGAGGAGGTTCTGGGGAGACCTTACAGCAGCATTCCAGTACCTAAAGGCAGCCTACAGGAAGGATGGGGAGGGACTCTTTACCAGTGAGTGCAGTGGTATGATAAGGGGTAACAGTTTTAAGCTAAAAAAGGATAGGTTTAGATTAGATACTAGGAAGAAATTGTTGCTCCAAGCATGGTGAGGCACTGGCATGAACTGCTCAGAGATGTCATGGATGCCCCAACCATGGAAGACCAGGCCTTGGACAACCTGAGCTGCTGGAAAGTGTTCCTGTCCTTGGCAGAGGTTGGAATTGGATGGGCTTTAATGTCCCTTCCAACCCAAACCATTCTGTGGTTCAGTGGTTCAGTGGTTCTGTGATTCTACGATTCTATGATTCTGTGGTTCTGTGGTTCAATTCAAGATCCTCCTAATGGTTAAAGGTATTTTCCTTGGCCAGCTTGAGCCCTTGTCCCTGTTTTGTGAGTTGTGAGCTAAAGTACAAAGAAACTTCAGTCAAAAGTCATAGAGGAAGTCAGAGGGAAGGGGAACTGAACAAAACTAAATGAGCCCAGCATCTGGATCACGAGGCACAGTCCAAATGAATCTGCAAAGCTCATAGCAAAACAAGGAGATAACAAATATTTATGTAACAAGTATTTGGAATGCAAATGGTGTCCATTTGGTTATGCAGTGCAAAACTTCCCTGTGATAATACCAGGAATAAAGTGGCTGGTTTGCTCAAAGGTGTACAAATACCACTTCCACAATGCAACACATACTGTGATTTTATCTGACATGCATTCCTCCACCACCTGAGGTGCCCTCTTCCCATAGTATCTGTATGTCACTGTATAGCTTGCAGGCCAAATAAAAGCTCAGCCTCTCACTCCAGCTGCGTTCAAGGAAAATGTTTGGATTTGGTCATTGGGTTTTCTTGTTTTTCAAAATGATGTTGTGAATGTTATTGGAAAGATGAGTCAGGGAAATGAGTTTTGTAGTTCTGGAAGCAAGGGCTATTGCCTGTTTTTTTAAAATACTGTAACCCCAAGGAGCCTCAGGGCAGCCTCTGAACTAGGTTTTGGCTCTACATTCTAACATTATCCTAGAAAAAGACAAATATCCTGAGTCATCTGGTGTCTGTGTTTAATAAACCTTTCTCTCGCCTCAAGTAAAAGGGCTTCGTTTGATCAAAAGTGGGTGAATCATAAATATCTGGCTCTAAACTTTATTATTTCATAGTAAAGGAGCAAATAAGAAGCAGTGTATCTGAATGCACAGCAATGCTAATTTTGTCTGGTGTGCTTTGCTATTTTCAATCTCCACAATAACAGCCATGTGACAGAGCAAAACTTCCTTTCCTTCAAAACAGCCCTCTGGATTAAAAAAAAAAAAAAGGAACCAGTTTAATATCAAATGGGAGAAATTACTTTTTAAACGGGTATCAGTTTTAAACTGCATGCTCTCAGGCTATTAGAAAAGTGTTTTTCTTGGATTTGAGCTACCACACTCTATGCAATTATGCTAAAATGGAAATGCCTAGATTCTGAAACCTTAATAACAGGGTAGCGACTGAGATTTTTCAACATCTGCACAGTGTAACCTTCAAATTTGTGTTGCATTTATACCATAAGCCCCAAATCCTATGCCTCTGCTGCTAAACCTCTCATGCAACTGCAGGATCCCTGGTACAAAACAGATGTTGATACACTGGAATGAGCCCCGTGGAGCACCACCAAAGTGCTTGGGGATGGAGCACCAGTTGTGCTCTGGAGGTGTGTAGAGGTCCGTTTTAAAGTAGGTTATTCCATTATTATTCTCTTGTTCCTCTCTGTAGACAGTGCAATGCCACCCTGGTAACGCTTTTGGCTTTGTCTCACTTTCAAAAATGAGGACTTGTAGCCGTGAGATGCCAGGCAGTGCGACTCGACTTTGCCATGTTTCTAGATATGCTTCGACACAATGTGCTTTTGTACACTGAGAACTGAAACGTGGGCCTTATGTTACTAAGCAGGGTCTTCTAAAAGGCCCTGCAGAAACTTGCAAGGGTCAGGAACTCACGTGCTAGGACCATCCATAGCCACCACCTCCCCTTCCTACTGCAGAGCTTAATCTAGCACCAATGTCTTCTAAGTACAGGTAGGTCGGTTTCCCCAAGCCACAATTCTCCCAGAGTTCCCCCATAAATGTCAGATATTTTCTATCAAAATAGCTCAGAAGGAAGCTTACTAGAGCACAGAAAAATCATCTCCCTTAATTTTGTTTCACTTTTCTCTTTTACTCTCCTCCACCTAGTTTTGCTTATTTTTTTCTGCAACTTTCTTTTTTCCCCCCCATTTTTCTTTTCAAAACCTCAGTAAATTTGTTTACTCCTTGATCTCTGGATTCTTGTTTTCTGAGTAGATTCTTCTGCTGCTGCTCCTTCTGATTCCAGCCTCTTTCCTCATTACTTTAATTTTTACTCTTATTCTTTCTTTTCCCTTTTTGAAAATGAACAATTGTCCCTTAAGGCCCTTTTCATTTTCTCCCTCTCCTCCATTCTCTCACCCGTCTTCTTTCTCCTTCTGTGATCTAATCCTTTTTTCTTTCACACAGCTTCCCATTCACTCCATATTCCAGGGTCCATCTCCACCACAATTTCCTGTCTTGTCTTTTTCCTTCAGTTGATTTTTCTCAGCATTAACTGCATGACTGAATAATTGGCCAAGGGTTTGAAGCTTTTTCCTCTTTCCTCCTCCAGGGAAAAGTGCACAGGGAAAAACCCATCCCTTGCCCCATCTGTTGGTGCTGGCTATGTGACATTATCCTGTTGCTTCTCAAGTATTTCTACATAGGGAGTGAAGTAGCTAAGACATCCCAGAGGTGCCTCCTCCTCAGGAAATTCTGCTGTGTCTCCATTCCAACTCTTTCTACCTACACTGGTTTTGCCAGATGACCTAATGAGATGGTACCTACATCTGTCTTCTGTTCACTGCAGGGGAGTTGGACCAGATGACCGCTAAGGGTCCCTTCCAACTCAAACAGTTCTATGATTCTTTCAGAAGCTGCTGCTCACCGTGTCCCCAGTGGGCACCTTCAAATAACAGCCTGCTTCTAATTTTGAACAGCATCTTCTGATGACCCTCCCAAAGACTCCTGAGCAAACCACACAGTCCCCACTCCCTAAAATACAGTAACAGCATCTTGAGGTGTGTTCTCTCCAGACAAAGGAAAACACACAGCTCTCTTTTTCCCTTCAGGACAAGCCAAACATGACAAACTTCTGTGCACTGTGCTCTCAAGCTGTCCTCTCCATATAAATCACATCTCAAGTCTGTTTTGTAGCCAGTCACTTAAGTATATTTCCAGAAAAGTGCCTCAGAACATGAAAGAAAAGACACCCGAAAATGGCAGCACATTTAAAAGCTGGGCTTTGTTTCCCATCCAAGGTTAATTTTTGGATTCTCTGAAACTACAGATGGATGACAAGAAACGTGGAATATTGAGAGAGTGTAATAATCTTGTGTAAACCTCTCACACACACCCACTCTCCCTTTTCTGAACCCGAGTGAGTCAGACAAGTCAATTTCAGGGAAAAATGACTTTGAAAAAGAACCCCTCAGTGCCAAGCTCCTGGGGACGGATGGAAGGTGCTGCCTTGATCTCACCCTGCTAGGACAACCAAACAGCCCTGGCTGATACAGATGTACAACAAGGGAAAGCAAGCCTCACACAGCAGCCAGTCCCTCTTACTCAGATATATTTAACACAGCAGGCAGGGCGTCAGCAGCTTCTGTAGGATTAAAGGTGACTCAAGTGTAAGGATTCAGTGGAGTGCAGAGGCCATCTGCTGCATGCCTCTTCATACCAGTTGTCTTATTCTTTCTGTGCCCACTCTGGCAAGACCTATAAGCAAGTTCCCTTATGGCAAATGCAAATATATATGCTGCTGGATGACTTTGTTAAAAATTGTTTTCATCCAGAAGGAACAAGACATCGGTTTGTACCTGACGACCCACTCAGTTTTAGCAACTACCCAATGGCTCTACATTAAAATCCTAGGGATAATAAATAGTTCAGAGAATCATATAATTGTAGAATCATGAAGATTGGAAAAGACCTCTAAGATCATCTAGTCCAACTGTCAGCCTATCCCCACCATGACCACCAACCATGTCCCTCAGTGCCAAATCTATGCGGTTTTTTAACAACTCCAGGCACCGTGACTCCATCACCTCCCTGAGCAGCTTCATTTCTACACAGTGAAGATATGAGTACAGAAGATTCTGGTACTGAGATCACCAAACTCATCCTCAACTCATCATCAACAGGTATGGAGCCAGAAACAGGGCAGATTCACCAGTAACAGTTTCCAATAAGAAGGGCAAGATCCCAGTAGGTACAACCACTCAGCTTTGGGTGCTTAGCTTTTGGGACTCCAGCTTCTGTGTTCCCTTGGTAACACCCTGGTCCATGCGCACATACACAGCTAGGCAGATCTAAGGCAGGGATTATGAACACCACGAGCAGCCCAGACATGCCTTCAGGTTTATCCAAACCACTTGGCAAGCTCTCCTCCTCTGCACTGAAAATTCTTGGAAATCCTTATGTGTGACCTCTGATCTTTATGAAAATATCAGGATATGCCCAGGTAACAGCTAACAGTCATTGATTACAGAGACCAACATTTAATTATGCTGTGAGAGATTCAGGGGAAACTAACAGTAAGAGCAGTATATTCATTGAAGTGTCTTCAAAGTCTGTTTTCTCTAGCAACCACAATGAACTTTGCTGGATAGAAAAGACAGCCTTCTTTTTTCTTTTGCAGGAAAACACAGCTTTCAATTAAGAGAGTATCACTGTCATACAAATTTCGACATGAAAAAGACAAATTGCTTTCCATGTTCATTTCTTCACTGAATTTTATGTGAGTTGAGTAAACTGGAACTGTGGAACTGAGCATCTTTTCTCTGTGTGATACAAAGTGCTGAGAGCATTCCATCAGGAAGACTGGGATGGGATGGGATGGGATGGGATGGGATGGGATGGGATGGGTTGAAATAGGTTGGGACAGGGCGGGATGGGATGGAACATAACAGGATGGGGCAGAATGAAATGGGATGGGATGGAACAGGATGGGATGGAATGGAATAGGATGGAATGAGACAGAATGGGATGAGACAAGACAAGAAAGGATGGGACAGGATGGGATGAGACAAAATGAATGTGTATCTTGCTGCACTTCGCCCACTGGGCTGAAATACCAATTCCAGTGAATTCAGTATCAGATAATTTGGTGGCACTAAGATGTCAGCTCAGATTTCCCACTCTAAGCTTGATGATTCCTTATCAACACATCTGTCAGTATTTACTGGCCAGCAGGTCTCACAGGCAAATTCAAAAGAACAAATCCATTATTGTGGCACCATTCCTGTCTTGGCAATTTTCAGGATCTGACCTAGGTGCCTAAATTACACAACCAGCCTTCTAAGGATATCTCAGCAGTCAATGGAAAGGAGAAAAACATTCATGAGTACAATTCAGAGTAAGAAACTAGTACTGGGGCCTGTTCTCCTCCATTAATTCTATAGGAAGACAAAGTTATTGTCCAAATGTCCATACTTCACAGAATCAGAATCACATAACGGTTGAGGTAGGGAAGTGTTTGATCTCTGGATCTCCTCCAGCCCCTGTGCCAACAAGAACAGGAGCATGCCAGTGCTCCATCACCTGTGCAGCAAGGAAGTGCTCCTGGTGTTCAGAGGGAATCTCCTGTGCTCCAATTTGTGCCCATGGTCTCTGGTCCTGGCACCAGGCACCACTGACAGAGCCTGGCTTCTTGGCACATCCCCATCAAGAATTTATGGACATTGATGTCCCCCTGAGCTTCCTCCTCTCCATCTGAGCAGCCCCAGCTCTCTCAGCCTCTCCTCATAGGAGAAGCGCTTCAGACTCCTCATCACCTCAGCAGCTGTCTGTTGGGCTCTTCCCAGTATGTCCATGCCTCTCTTGCACTAGGGGCCTTGGAATTGGACCCAGCACCCCAGGTGTGGCCTCACCAGTGCTGAATAGAGGGGAAGGATCATCTCCCTCCCTCGACCTGCTGGCAGTGCTTTGCCTAAGGCAGCCCAGGATATCTTCTTAGTAGCCAGGGCATGCTGCTGGCTCATGCTCAACTTGGTGTCCATCGCTGTCCACTCACATTCTGTAACTCTCTTCTCTCTGCTTCCAGTTTCTTATCTGGAAAAGAAGCCTTTGCAACACCAGTACAATCCATCTGCTCTGACCACTGGGAATAAAAAATAATTTTTGAAGAGGTAAGACTATTTTGTAGATAAAGTCAAAACTGCTATCAGTATCGATGTTTCTGTTCACATTTTGAGCAGCTTTCCTTCAGACTAGCAAAGCACAATGTCTGAAAAATACCCAGACCTTTCTCTTCACAGTAATACAGAAAAGTCACTGGGGAGTCTTGACCATGTTCTGTACGATCCATGTGGTGCAGCTGAGCTTAGATTGCACTCCTGCATTGCTCATAAGTTGTCTTTATCTCCCATTTATGCCCAGACGGGACTGCTTTAATTAAATTTTAGATAGAACAAGGAAAAGACAAATTAGAAAAATCAGAGCTTATAGTAAAATTGTGCCTGCATTAGCCAGTGGACAATTGTATTTAATTAAACAGTTGCTAAATCTTCGGAACACCATCTTGCCTGTTAATTACTATATTTTAGCTAAATAATTCTGTCAAGTGTATTTATCACTAAGAGAGCCAGGACTGTAAAATCAATATGTGGGAAGATTATGAATGGAAGCTTAGCTTGAAAAGGTGTAGAAAAAGCATCAAATTTTGATTTTTTGTTTTCTGCTGGGAGAAATTTTCCTCTATAAAAGCTCTGAAAGAGAAAGAAAAATATCACTGTCCTGTTTTACAAATTCCAGGGAAGCAACACTACTATTTTACCTATGATTGTTTCTGTCAGAGAAAAAATTGCTGGAAGGACAGCATAACTCCATTTGCAGCAGAGTGACTGGAGACTTGCTGTTTTGTCTGTGGAACAGAAAATAGTTCTCTGTTTATAAGATAGCTTTCTATGAAGGTGAAATGTTATTTTACTGATACGTTTTTAAAAGACAACAGGAGAAAACAATAATAGCTTATGTATAAAGTAAGACGAATAAAGTATGGTGGATTTGACTCCTGTTGGGAGTCTCAAATCCTGAGAGATTTAAGCAAGAATAAAAGCAAAAAGTAACACAAATAATAATCAGAATTCACTTCTGGGAGGAAAAAAAAGAAAAAAAAAGCTTTTTACTGGAAAAGAAAAAAGGAAAGGGGAAGGGGAAAAGGGAGGGAAAGGGGAAGGGGGAGGGAAAGGGGAAGGGGAAGGGGAAGGGGAAGGGGAAGGGGAAGGGGGAGGGGATGGGGAAGGGGAGGAAAGAAAAGAAGGGAAAAGAAAAGAAGAGAAAAGGAAAAGGAAAAGGAAAAGGAAAAGGAAAAGGAAAAGGAAAAGGAAAAGGAAAAGGAATCAAATAAACTCTTTTAAAGTTAAAATGGGGGCATACATTTAAAACACACTTTGTTTCCCAGCAAGCAGTATGAAAGAAACAAAATTTTAGTTGCAACTTAATTGGCCACAACCAACCATGTCAATACATCAGTGACCACAAGAGAAGAACATTTTACTTTTAATTATGTGGTCATCATAAATGGCTTTGATCTTCATTAAATCTCTAGAAGTTACACTTGGCAAGTCTGCATAAAAAAGCACTCCACAAATCAGCATCCTTATTCTTCACTACTCCATTACTTCTTATTCTTGATGTAGTTGAACTACTTACAGCTTTATAAGATTGGCTAAACACAGGCTAAGGGTTTCCTCAAATGCAAATCCCCAGAGATGAAGAGATTGTTAAATACTACAAATGTGAAAAAGCACAGGAAGGTGGCCTGGAAAAACACCATACTTTGAACCAGTGTAATGCGTGCAAGTGTTTGTGAACAGTTTAAGCACTAGATCACCTTTACATTTAAGCATAACTCTGTTGCAAAGCTTAAGGTAAAAGGAAACCATGAAAACAGTGAAAGCAGTCTTGTCATGATTTCTTGCAAGGTGAACTCTTCCTAGGTAGGATGTCTGGACATTGCACTCGTCACTTCTGGATGCCATACAGAAGTTTCAGAGCTGTGATTAGGCACTGCAGCTCTGAAAAGCTTTGAGCTTTGCCAGGAATCAGGCAGGGATTGACTTCAGGGTAGGGGTATGAGAGAAATACCCATGTGCAGAACTCCTGACTTTCAATTTACAGTCAGAATGCAATCCATCATCCTCTTGTAGACTTTTATCTTCAGTATGGGTGAAATGTCCCCAAGAAGTGCCCCTTCCCATTGAGTACAGAGGAAATATAGAGTGGCTTTGGTACATAGAACATATATAGCATTGCTAAAGGGACACCTATCAACATATATTCACAGCATCATGGAATCTCCAAACTTAGAAAGGACCCACGGGGATCACAGAATCACAGAATTGCAGGGATTGGAAGGGACCTCAAGATATCATCGATTCCAATCCCCTGCTAAAACAAGTACCCGACAATAGGTCATACAAGCTGGTGTCCAGCTGGATCTTGAATACCTCCATAGAATACTCCACAATGTCCCGGGGCAGCCTGTTCCAGTACTGCATCATCCTTATCATAAAGAATCAGATCCCCTCTCAATCTTCTTTTCCCCAGACTGAACAGACCCAGGTTACTCAGCTTTTCCTTATACAGGAGATGCTCCAGGCTCTTTACCATCTTTGTGGCCCTTCACTGGACTCCTTCTACGAGATCCCTGTCTTTTTTTGAACTTAGTAGCCCAGAACTGGACACAGTATTCTAAATGTGTATCACTGAATCCAAATCCTGGCTCCACATAGGGACCACCCAGCATTCAAATCCTATGCCTGAGCCGTTATCCAAACACTTCTTGAACTCTGTCAGCTTGAGGCCATGTCCACAGCCCTGGGGAGCCCATTCCATGCCCATCACCCTCTGGTGAAGAGCCTTTTCCTGATATCCAGCTTAAACCTCAGGTCCAGCTCATTATTCAGAGGCAATGCCCACTGTCTGCCAGGCTGGGAGCTGCATTTGTTTTTAGGGATTTTTTTAGGCAGAGAATCTAGAAGAAACACGACTTTTTCAGGAACAGTGGGAGGATAAGTATATGTTTAAAATAGGAACAAATGAGGAAATGAGTCTCCTATGACATGCAAACTGTGAAGTCATTCATTCAAGAATGCTAAAAAAAAAAGTCACTTCCCTTCCTATCATTGAAAAGTCTCAAAAGTACTTTGAAATCCCAAATTCAGCTATAACAAAGACAAAATCATGGAGTTAGCTCACTGACTCGAATGTATTTATCAAAACTTATTTAACTCTTTTGCATTACAGGAATTAATCTAAAAACTTCAAAAAAGAACAGAACGGATAATTTCTATAAGATTTATGTATACTTTCACAGACTTCTTACGTGAGATACAATAAGTATTGTCTTTTATAGTTTTCAAAGGGCAAGCAAAGTACAGAACAAACTAACAAAGTGTAGAGAAATGTAAAAATACTGTGTACAGCTGCATTGCATCATCCCCGAATATTGTCTGAGGGTGACAGACTGGAGCCATAAATAATATGTTTCAAAATCTTCTGTGGCAAATGACTTCATTAAGTTTTTAGCCAAATGAAGAAAATATTACAGCTGAAAGGCAATATAGTGATAGAAATTGTCGCCAAATAGACAGTAAGCTGAAAGCCAAATTAAATAATTTCTCCTCTGAAATAGATAGAGAGATAACAAGAAATACTTAACATATGAAACTAAAACTTCACCAGTGCTTACCTACTCCAAAGAAGAGAAAGAACACCAGATGCAGGCAGGCTTTGTGGTCTCTCTGCATGAGCCTACAAAGGATCTAATCTTGTACCTGTTGCCCTTTTGGCTGTTATTCATCCCAGTGCAAACCATCTGACTGCTCTTCTATAAATCAGCAACTGTGACGAATTCCCTTGAAAGACAGTGAGAATGCAGACATTTCTTGGGTATATTTCATCTTGACCAAATTGCATTCAGGTAGCAAATGTCGGGATGGAACCAGGCAGCACTCTGGGACAAATGTCATATTAGCACATGAGCAAAGCACCTAAAAATGTTTAATTATGTCTACGTTCTTCTCAGAAATTATAAATCTCACGTAGGCCTATGGAGGTGGCAGTTAGGTAAAGGCCAGAAAGACCTGCTCCAGGGGGCTAAAGATTAGTAGCATCTCTAATAACAAACTACAGCTCAAATATTGAGATATTGAGAAGTGGAAACTGCTTCACAACAATCTGGATCAACACTTTTTGAAAAAGTAATCCTCTGTACTGAAGTCTGATGGTTGGACTAGATGATCTTACTGGTCTTCTCCATCCTTAATAATTTCATGTTTCTAATCACACTGCTTGGAAAAAAGAGTGGGAACCCAGTGCGTACAAACTGGGCAAACAGTTTATTCTGTTGAGTGTAAAACAAGGTGCCTTTAATCAGAAATCCGAGTAGCAATAATCAGATAGGATCCAAAGGAATGGCATGGTCCTTCATCAGGGGAAAGTCAGGTAGATGCCAGGGAAAGGTTCTTCACTGCCAGGCAGTGGGCATGGAACAGGCTGCCCAGGGCAGTGGGCAGGGCCAAGTTGCTGGAGGTCAAGGAGCATTTGAACAGTGCTCTCAGAAATAGGATTTGAATGCTGGGTGCTCCTGTGTGGAACCAGGAGGTGGACTTGATAATCTTTGTGAGTTCCCTCCAATGTGGCATATTATATGATTCTAGGATTCTGTGAACACAAATACAAACATGCTTACACGTATGAAAGTGTGATATAATCAGACACTCAGAAGATGATCAACACGACTTTAACCAGGATTTTTAGACAAAGTTAAGTATTTAAAGCAATTCCAATGGTAGTACCAGGAAAAACTAGCTCAAATAATTCATAAAAGACCCATAGACAATGGGCTGGTGCCATCCAGCACAAAGGGAAAGGACCACAGGGCTCTGCTTCATTGCTGCCAGAAGAAGGGTCATACACTGTGGGAAGTCTGAGCAGGATGATGCTGTGAAAGTCTCCTGTGCTGGAGACTAGGAGGTCTGCACAATGTCGTTTGCAACCACTACAAGGCCTCTTGGCATAGTCATGTAAATAAGAACCAGATCCTTTGATTTCAAAATTGGCATTTTTCAAACATAACAAAGACCCTCTGTGGGAATGAATAAGTCCATGATAACTGTGCTGTGGTAGACACAAGCTATTTTGAGTTACTGACTGCATAAAACCATAGGGATATCTCTATATTTTTAAATAGATGTTACCTTCCAAGTAGCATAATATTTCAGGAGAATTTGTTTTAATATTCCATGTGAAAAATAAACTCACTCTCAGAGTGAGATTTAGGTATGGAGAGTACTGAGCAAGAGAGTGAAAAATAAGTAAGACTCATGCAATTTAACTGTGAGATGAGAGCTACAACTCTGTAATAAATCTACCTAATAAACCAAAAGATAACGTCCCATATACTTTTACCACCCAGAGGTACAGCTTTATTGGTGTACTAAAGCCTTTTTCCATGTCACAGACCTCAGCGTTCCTGATTCAAGCTTTGTTACAAGGCTCAAAATATGCGTGCATCACACTGAACACCATGATGGCAGTTGGAGACCACTCAGCTCAGGGAGATGTTCCTCTCTGAATAAGAATCTTTACAGTATTCCAGGAAGGATGCAAAGCTTATCCTTCATATTTCTTCCTCCTTTTAAGCAGATCAGAAATTACTATATTTGAAAGCCTGAATGTACTTAATATTTCACCCCTTAAAAACTAGCTGAATCAACTTTGATTTGATTGAGGAGATACTGGGGAAAATGACAACAGACTTTCTCATATTTTGGAGAATTAATTGTGTCTTTCTGCTTTCTGCACTGGATGACTGTTTCATACTCTATTAATGGGTTATTGGGGGCATTCATCTGCTGCTGTCCCTTCTGACAGCACCACATCCACTTTCCATCCTCCCAAAGTCAGAGCAGACAGGAAGGTGAGTCAGTGAGCGCCATTAACCAGCAGCTGGCTCACTCACTGTAATTACCACAGCAAAAATGTAGGAGCATTTTATAGCCCTGAAATGCTCTACAAATACACCGGTACTAAATTGGGGACAGTTGCTTCCACTTGGCTTTTGTTACCATGGGTAAACATAACTTAGCCTACCGTATTTCAGGAGAAAGAAAACACGCTGCTCAAATAAAATGATACAGTAGAAATCTATCCTGAACAACAGGGAAATCAGTTTCTCTTATTCCTCACATTCCTTTATGAGGAAAAAAAGAAAAAAAGGAAAATAAAATTAGGGCAGCATGGCCTGAGGCACATGAAAAGGAGTGTTAAATTTAGAGCAAAGTAGACCAGCAGTTCTCAACCGGTGGTTCATGTAGTCAAACAGTGCTACTGACACTATTTGGATTGAGCTAAAAATCCTGTGATGGACAGTTCTTAACAGTGACTTCCAGAGGAAGCATCTTCCTGATCCGAAATAGGAAGTGGCTGCCTTTCATCCTGGAACATGAAGTTTTATAACCTCCTGCTTGTTAATGTCTATTTGTGGTAGCAGCAGATTTTCTTCTATTATTTGACTCCTCCTAAAACTTTTGCCTGAGTAATGAGTTCTGAAAGTCATTGCACTTTTCAGGGAGATATTTAATCAGTTTTAGGTGTACTGTCATATTAAACTCACTGGGAACTCCCCCTAAGCTCATGGCTTCAGAGAACTTAGGGAAAATTTTGCATATATCCACTGTTTCATTCCTTGTCTGTTTCTTCACAACACCTAACAACCTGACCTTTTTGTCTCTGCCACATACAGTGTACTTTTGTTGCTTCCTCCAAATCTTCTTTCTGCTGTATTCTTATTTCAGACAGGATCAGAGTTCAACGGAGTAATTCTATTTATATCACCTTCCAACAAGGTTCTCTAAAATACTGCTGGACATGCTCTTTCCATCATCTGACATAAGACTCTTTGGCTGACTATCTATAGGCCTCAAAAACATGCCAGGAAAAGTGAAAAAGGTGTAAGCAAGACTTTATTATAGGTTCTTTGATTAACAGCCCACAAGTCTTGTCTTGCAGGTATTTGGGGGCTACTCTTGTGGTATGTGTAATCCTGTCCCAAGGAAGCACTGATTAATTCTGCAACCACGTGGTATAACAGCACTGTCCTTTAGCATTCCAGATGTAGCTCCACATCTTTTCGACACACAACGTGCATTAAAATCCCCTGCAGCTTTAAAGATCTGATAATGGAATAAAGGTAAACTGCTCAGCTATTGCACATTAAAATTCTCTAGCAGAAATTTGGAAATTCTAAAGGAAATATGTTTAATGAGGCTAAAGGCACTGCGAGCAAGACCAAAAATCCCAAGCAAACTGTGATTTGCAGGAGGTTGTGACGCTAGACAAGTCTGATTACTACTCATAAAAATCCTTGAAGAAATAAGATGTCATCACCCAAAATACATACATGCAATCAACAATTAGAACAGAACGTCTGATAGGCAAAATAATCTTATCCTGTGTGCTGAGACAGATCTGTCTAGACTGCTGTCCTTATCTTGCAGCCAAACTGTTGTCCCTGTGGCAGCCAGCTGCACCTTTCAGCAAACTCTCTTTCCAGACACACGAAAATATCCAGGGGAGGAGCTCTGGAAAAGCCCATGTTCTGTTAGGCAAAAGCTGTTGGAACTGTGTCACCAGATAAAGACCATTTCTTTCGAGCACCTTGGGCTCGAGTGATTAATGTACATGTCATTGTGCCAGCAGCAAAAAAGAAATTAAAGAAAATAACCTGAAGTTGAAAAGTGAAACAAGTAGAAGCCCCAGAGGAGCCGAGTCCCTACAGATACATAGAAAGCAATAAGAAGAGATTTATATATCGCATCCTTCTGTACCTTCAGTCAGCAAGTGCAGGCAGAAAGAAAGATGTTGTGAGACCTTTCTCTCTGTAGCTAGTGGACTCAGGTGGACTTGGTCTCTCCCCATTTTCATTTAATGTCTGAAAATAAAAAAAATCATGAAACAGGAGGAAAAAAAAAACATGAGGAGAGGTGCACTGCACAGAAAGTAAAACATAGGAACAGTGTCTAAACCAAAGGTGCAAAAAAAGATAGCAGAGGGGAAGACGCTGTGAATGATCTAAGACCAAAGAGCCAAGGCTGCCATATCCCGGAGGAAAACAAGAGCAAGACTCAGCAGTGTCTCTGATGAGAGGCCACACTTTGACCTGAATCTGAAATGGAAAAAAGAGTATCTTGTATCATTTACCAGGAAACTCAAAATGATCAATTCACCAGGCATAGCAAATTTTGCATGAAACAAATTGCTCAATCCAGAATGATGTTTGTGCAGTAATGCTTTAATATTGAAAATGCAAAACACCGCATGAAGAGGTCGGAAGCAAACTATGTTTTTTTCATTGTAAGTCTGATGTTGATGCTCTAGCCAAAGTGTTACTGGTACAAAGAACACAAACTCACACTGAGGCAGGTCTTAAAACTTAAGCCGTGAGTATAAGATGAAAAGCAGAGGTGGAGAGGGTTATGTAACAGGAATTGCAATGATGAAGTTCCTTATTTTCTTAAGTTGGCAACATGTCCATATTTTAAAGAATGCTCAGAACATTGAAGTACTTTCCACAGTGAGAAAACACTTTATAAAGAAAGCATGTGAAAGGTAATAATCATTTCTCATGAGTTTGATGCCTGCTTCTCAAAAGTTTCCAATCATAGCTTCACCAAAAGAGACTCCTGCTACATCCCAGATTTCCTCTTTTCAAAAATTAGAACAGTCTATATGCATAACAAGTATTTTTTGTATATTCCATGGTGAGATAGTAGTGGATCTTCTCACCACAACACTGAGCTGAGGACTGTGGGCCAGGCTGACTACATTGATTTCATCTCCAGACCCTTCTCATTTGAAAGGGACTTCGGAGTAGTGTTCATCCACTCTGGAGCAAAGATCAAAACATAATGAAGAAGGAGTATTATTCTTTCTTTTCATGTTGCAAGCAAAATTTCAAGCTGTGTGATCCCCCTTTCCTAAGATAGGTCCTTCAAAACCAAAATAAAATACACATGACTTACCATTTGGAAGGCTGGTCAGCATACAAGGTACCAGTGTGAGCTGTCATCACTGAACACACTCATCACTTGGATTCAAAGAGCTCAAGTTGAAAAATCTCAAATAGAAGTTCAGACTATTTATTTTTCTTCCTTTTTTTTTTCTTATCTTGTTATTGCTTTATAGGGAGCATTTGTCAGTTGTATTTTTGTTTGTAAGAACATGAGAAAATAAACAGAAACTACTCACTTCTACAGTCAATAGAATCTCTCAGGCTGAAAAGAGGTATCCACAGTAGCATTCAGAAGGATTTACTATTGTCTTTACTTGAAATGCCTGGAAAGATTACAGGTTACTTTAGAGGAAAGTAAAGAAGAATTAAATAGTTTCCAGTGTTAAAATAGAATCAGCTAGAACTACAGAGATGCTTCAAAGAGAACAAAAAGTTTTCACTTCACTGACCCATTTTTCTTGGCAAGAACCTAAGACTTTAACAGGTACTTGTGTTTTCTACACATGTCTCATATGTATTAATGTTCATCACCACCTATATCAACATAAAGAGCAGGACAAAACACTGACACTGGCTAGGGCATTGGTTTCAAGTGGATAGTTTTCCTCACAGACCAACAAAAAATGATTTAATTTATTGCCTATCCTTTGTTAAAAATATCGTGCACAGACAAAACATAAAAGCAGATGTAGATGAACACAGACATGGTGGGTCAGATCAAAGCTTGGCATTCTGTCTCCAGCAACGCCCCACTGCAATGCATTGGGCAACTGCACAGTGGTACCTCTCCCCAGTGTCTTCCCAGCCACTGGCAATTTGTGGCTCTGAGATTCCCAAAGCCAGAGGTGGTGTCTTTGTTTTTAATAGTCCTTCATGGCATAGACATGCATCCTGCCATCTTTCTGTAACAAACACAATTGCATAAACCAAGTGACCAGCTAAGCAGTTTAGCTTGCCCAAGAGCTGTGTGTACATTAGCCAGTACCATTCTTACCAAATGAGCAGAGACCACACAAAAGTAGAATATGTATTCTTCAAAGGCTAAAACAAATTCGCTTATAACACAGATGATTAAAAAGGAGGAAACTACAATTCCAACAACAATAAGGTCAGCTTCTACTGCTTGTAGCACTGAGCTGCCTTAGCTATTTCCTGCCACAGGAACCAATTGCCAGTTGCTTGACACTGTTAACATTTCTAAGACACCTCATCAACCATGACTTGAGCTTTTTCCTGCACATAACTTCACAAAACAAGACTGTTCTTTGTGCTCATCCTGGTTCGTAAATTTTCAGTGGTTCCATTATTCTGAAGCTAGTGAAGTATATTTGATTTCCACCGTCGTAGAGTTTGTAGGTGCTGAACACACAGATGATGCTTTCGCACCATCTGGATACTTCATTTGGAAGAAAAAGTCTTGAAAAAGTCTTGAAAAAAAAAAAAGAAAAAGAGAGGAACCAGCCTTCTCCAAGCCACCATGAAGCAGTTAAACTCTTCCAGAAAACCACAGAGAATGTTGGCGACATGCTATATATTCAGTACTCTTGGAAAAAGAAAAAGAAAAACAAAAAAGAAAAAGAAAATAGGAAAATCTGAATGAAGAGACTAATTAGTGTGCCGTGAGTACGCTGAACTCAGGCTGTTATCTTGCCAGACAAGGACTTGCACTGTGAGGCCTTTTACTGAACAAGTTTAAAATGCACCCTTATGTGAAGAAGTTGATGAAAACTTTCTTCAGCTTCTTTGTCTGTCACAACATGAGCCTGGTACTTCAAAAGGGCTGGAAAAAAGGAGTCATAGCAAGAACCCCAAGCCCTGCAATTCAGAACAAGATAATAGAGATCTTGTGTGTCTCAAAACTCCTCAAGTTAGAGGCAGAGCTGCTTAAATTGGAAAGGTAACCTCCTTGCCACTGAACTAGGTCAAGAAGTCCTAAACACAGTCAATCCATCCTAAATGTTGCCAGGTACCAGAAGAAAACCAATTTTCCAGACAATTCATGCTGAACTCCTGGTGGTCCATCTGATGAAATGGAAACTACTGTTTATCCTGACAGAAAATCTACTGGAAGAAAAATAAGCTCAGGTATGAAATTCTAAATATTCAAGAAAGAAAAAATCCCTATATAAATATGGACTAGTGTGTCTGGCATTTTAAATGTAGCTTATGAATGGTGTAAGTCTTCCTGCTTCCAACCAATAGATCTTATGATGTCTAACTTTTAATCATGACCTGAAAAGAAAGGCAATAAAAGTATTCCAATCTCATTCCAAGCAGAAGCACAAATTCAAAACGTGCTTCTGGTGAACGTTTCTATTACAGCCAGGACTGACTTCAGCTTTATCTATTACCAGCCAACTGTTATTTTACTAAGGGATCACTAAAGACAGTTCATAATTATCCCAGTGTAGGAAGCCAAAAAAAAAAAAAAAATCAGTAGTTTTTAAAACTTATGAAGCCAATAAATACTGCTTTGTTGGTGTTGACAACCATTGCTTTAGGTATGGATTCAAGGCTTTCTGTAATACAAAATACCTTCAATTCATGATGGAAAAAAATCACTGTTCAACTAGCAGCTGATTTCAATATGTTTATATCCGGGAACAATTAAGATTTACATGGTACAAAAGAATCAGCTTCAAGAATCTGATTCAAGAAGATGAATGTCATTGTTTGGAACATTTCATCACTCGTATGTGGGGTTTTTGACTTAAGTTTAGAAAGTAATGTCACAACAAGTAGTTCTGTGCCGTATATATATTTCTCTGTTTTAATAAAGTGAGATAAACAAACTCAGGATCTAAACTGTGTAGTTGCTCTTTCTGTGCATGTAATCCCTGACTTTATTTTGCTTTTCCAGTTGGCAAATACACCTATAAGTAATTAAATACCACACAATTAGACAACTCTTTCAGAAGGGTTCCAGCTGATGTTTTCAAAGTCTTAATCTTGGCACGATGTTCAAAAAATTTTAAACTAATTAATTCTTTCTCATAGAGTTTGGTTTGTTTTTGCACCTGAACATCTTAAGGAAATGATCTGCCATGCCTGTTCTTGTTGAGCAATGCACTATTTTGCAAGTAATCCTGTTAAATTTGGTGGCATCTCTTCCAGGAAAGGAGATGAATCAGTAAGGGAAATAGCGTATTCCACCCACTCTCTGAATGAAACAAACAGCAATTTACCTCAAATCCTTGATACTCTGTTAGAGCTGCTCCCACAGTGCCAGATCTGAATGGCTGAATTTTGTTGTCTACGACTGGATTAACATTTTTATCCATTTAATCCTCCCATTCATTTTGGTACCATAATTCTAAATATTCAGCTGATTTAATCCTATCAAAGAATGATTGTCTTCATCATCTTTGTCATGAAAAGCAGGTAAAGAAGCCAGAGAATCCTGGATTTGTGTCTTTTTAAGGCACCCGTCCATATTTTGATAAAAATAAAAAACAAGTTAAGGACACGATAAACATTTTATTATATGCCACTGCTTGATGCGTTTTAATTTTACTAGTTTGTCAAACTGTGTAAAAACCCAGCTGATCATATCAATTAAATCTCAGGGCCCTTCTTTTTTTCCCCATAAACATTTATTTTACTATTGAAACGAATCATGCCTAGCATTGTACTGTTCTCATCAAACTTTTATTTTGATACATCATTGCAACATTAAAGAGGGGTTTTTACAGTTCAACTCATTTCAGACAAATCAGAAGCCACTAAATAACTCCTACTGACCAGCAGCTTCTTTGAAAGAGATCTGGATTAACATGATGACTGCTGTGTAGCTCAGGTGAAGATAGAAGATACCTCAAAGGACACAGAAAAAGAAGTAACTCAATTTTGTAATAATTAAATTTCCTGCAGTTTTTCTAACCAATCCATCAAAATTGAACTTCACTCATCTCATAAAGCTGCTGCCAACTTATAGCTTGCTCATTTTGGTGGAGCTATATTCATGCACTTGTTACCTGTTTTAGAAAATAAACACTAGCTGTATTTCTTTAACTGTTTTGTATTACATACATACTACTCATCTGGAAGAAGACAGCAGAGCTATTGACCTTATGGTTTTCACAGTCTAGTCCAAATTTCTGTCTTCATGGTCCTAGAGATCATGGTAAATGTTCCCAGCAGTGTTTTCACCTGAAGTCTGGATGATAAACCAGTTTGCTGATAGTAAATGTGGAGTGCAAGCCTGCTGGTCACTGTTTGTCAACACTGCTGTGTGCTGAAGTGGTGAACAGCCATTTTATTGTAACTTCAGAATTTGAGATTTTCTGCTTTCCCAACAAGGATGGAGAGAAATGTAAATTTGATTAAAGTGACCTAGATTTTAAAATTAGCATGAGTTGCCCAATCCTTATCCAAGCACTGCATTGCTGCTTGTTTTTTATGAGTTAATAAAACTTAATGCAAACATGAAATATTTACATCAAATCTTCAGAATTCCCTACAGATGGTACCTTTGCTTGATTGAAGAAAGGACGGCTACACAAAGGGAGCGCTACCAGACAAATAATTATACATCTTAAGGGAATAAACTGCAAATCCTCTGATGGATTTGTCTTCTCTTGTCTCATATACTGGGTTTAGCTACCATCTCAATTTCATAAATGCCTTTCATGAGTACTTGGATGTCTATCTGATACAAGACAGTAAAGAAATTATGCCTCCATGGCTTCTTCTGGGAAGTTCTACAATGGATGAAAACAGGGGCATTTGGTCAGTCATCTGCAAGTAGCTGAAATCTGCACATCCAATTTAGACTGGTAAATAATCTCAATTTAATTTTGTTTTATTTTAGAAAAATCCATTTATTCACATCAGTCCATGAAAAGAGACAAAGAGGTCCCTATATTGCTTTATCTAGTCCTTATATTACTCAGAATGATTTTCAGGTGACTTTAAATGTTCTTCCAGCAGAAAATGGAATTTTATACGCAGCCGTTTAAACATCTATGACCTAAAAAAGAAGAAAGCACACTGTGTCATGCAGTGCAAACCTATACGCCACGTGGACCAGTGAGAACAGGGAGAACAGTCCAAAACACTCTCAGCTTTTCCCTCTCATCACCATAAATCTGTACCAGGGCACACAAAATGTTACACTGATCGCTTAATTTCACCTGCAAGGGATGCAAGGAAGGGTTTTAACGCCAGAGAAAGATAGGAAAACAAGTGATCACTCAACAGATGCAATTGGCAGAGCTCTCAAATGCTGCACAGCTGGACGGCACACAAGTGACCTCCCAACAGATCCAATTGGCAAAGCTCTCCAGCGCTGTGCAACTGGACAGCAGAGCCCACAAGCGCTGCGCAGTGGCATTCGTTCAGCCCTGACTCATAGACAGACGAAAGCCACCGGATGAATCACCAGCAGTGCGGTCCGCAACACCTAACGAGGTGGCTCATCCAAATATCAATCAGGTCCCAGTCTCCCCAGCTTCGGAGATCTGACAAACCACATCCTAGGTCGCTGCTTCACCGGTGAAATGGTGAGTTCTGGAAGAAGGGGCCTACAGCGAGCAACCAGGATGGCAGACTTCAGTTGGAGCGCCTTTGGGGTTATCTTCTGTGTGCCATTAAGCCGTAAAAGTGCTGTGAGCATAGCTGATATGCAAGAGAAATAGCAACTGATTAACTTAATAACAGAGAACTTTAAGGCAAATTAACAAAAGCGCTTTATGAAGCAGCTCATTCTGCTCAGCCTGCTGCTGCAGAAGGTCATTAAGTCCAACACTGTAGGAAAATCATTTTGATCCACAACGGTTGAAAGGACAGACGTTAAGCAAAAGATAATCACAAATTAGCATTCAGGACATCAGCTGGGCATTGCAGGTGTTGAGAGAAGACACTTCTTTTTGCAAAAGCAGCTGGAGAAAATGTGTTATATCCCTTTTTCCCTCACAAACAGGACGCTGGAAACGGTGTGTTTGGGCACAAACACCTGACCGGGGGGAGATTCAACCCCACGACCCCAAACCATGTCCAGGAGCGAGCCCTACCCCTCACCTCTGCCCCACAGCCCCGCCCCCCAGCCACTTGGCCCCGCCCCTCAGTGTCCTCTGGCCCCGCCCCCTCTCTGGCCCCGCCCCTCCGTCCAGGAGCGGCTCTCCGCGCAGGCGCAGTGTGCGGCAGAGCCAACTGCCCCCTCGCGGCCCCTCCCAGCCCTCCACAAAGATGGCGGCCGCGCTCCGGCGGGCGAAGCTGAGGGGAGCGCTGGGGCTGCGGGGCGGAGGCGGCGGTGCCGGAGCCAGCGCCAGCGGCGGAGGCCAGTGACAGGTGCGGGGAGGGGAGGGGTGACGCGGCGGCGGGCGAGGCGCAGGTACCTGAGGGGCGGGCAGGGGGTGGGGAACGGCCGGCGGGGCGCCGCCCCTGCCCGAGCTGCGCCATCGGGAACTCCCCCCGCAACCCGCCCTGCAGCCGCTGCCCGCCGCCGGCGGAGCTCGGACCGTTAGCCGGGGGACGGCGGGGCCATGGCGGTGAGTCGGGGCGGGGAGCGCGGATGGGGCGCGGCGGCGGCGCCTCGCGTAACCCCCGGGGAGAGCGGCCGGAGCGTGCCTACTCCGGGAGAGCGGGGGGAAACTTTCCGCCTCTCTCCGGCCCGGGGGGTCCCGCCGCTGGGAGAGGGCAGCTGGGAGGGGCCCGAGCGGCGCTGACAGGCGGCGGGAGAGGGGCGGCCGGCTCCGGCACCGCGCTGTGCCCCGCTGCGGGGCCGGGGTGCCGCGCCGAGTGCGGGCTGTGCCGCCTCCCCGAAGCGCTGCCCTTACCTCGGCGAGTGCTGCCGGAGCGCCCGCTGGGCTGCCTTCGTGCCTCTCCCTTCTTCCCCGCCTATCGCTCGGGTTTAACGCAAACAGAAACTTTTCGTGGCTTGCAAGCAGCTGGAAAGTGAAACCGACGAAAAGCAAAAACGAAACTTTCCAGCTGATTTTCATTGCGCGGTGCGAAGCAAATAAGCAGAAGGACGGTGGCACGTAGAGAGGGTGGGAGTGAGCGGACCACCTCCCGAAGGGTTGGTAATTTGTTTAACCTATCTGAAGCGATTTACGGCCATCCTGAGTGTCAGGGTGCTTCCAGAACAGCTCGTGCCGTGAAATCATTCTTGGGAAATGCTCTTTGTACCGTTTACGTCTGTGTTCGATTGGATGTATAGCTGGCTGTAAATTCCTTAAATCAGCCTGCAGGCTTCAAATCTCAGAGCAGCTTGTCGTTGAGCTTTGGTCTTAGCAGGAGCAGAAGCTGTCCTTTCTGAGCTTCGAGCTTGGTTTGTTGTTATGACAATAGGTAACTTTGTGTTTTGTGCAGCCCAGCTGTACAGAAGCGTTGCTGTAGCCATGATGTGAATCTGCATGCGTGGATGTGTGTGTATTTCATGCTCTGAAACAGCGTAAATCACAGCAACTCAGCAGCCCTTCACAATCAGCAAGTGCAATCAATGGCATTTCATCCATAGTCTTAAACAACTGTAAAGTCCAGTCACTCGGTGAGCGTAGAAGTAATGAGCTTTGATGTGGGGAGAAGGCTGTGTGCATGTGGAAGCTGGAGGTATCTGCAGAGCTCAGTATTGCAGGTGGGGTAGGGGTCCAGGTAGCTGGTGTTCCTACTGAACGCACAGGGCAGTGGGAGGGCACCACCATGCCTCTGACAGTGTCCCTCAGTGCCACATGTACACATTTATTGAGCACCTGCAGGGATGGTGGCTCCGGCACCTCCCTGGGCAGTCTGGGAAGTTATTTTGACACAAGATCTGAACGTGGGACTTGTTTTGTCAAACTGTGCCTGAGTGGTTTTCTTGCTGACTTCTTCAGAGGGGAGTGGGGGAATTTACATTCTGAATCACTTACACAAGGACTGTCAGGCACTGGCTTTGGCTGCTGTAACCTCAGTTGAAAGAGCCAGTTCTAATCTCAGAAAGCCTGGGACTCAGCAGTGTGTTCACTTGGTCAGGTTGGGAGCAGTCTGCCTTGGGCAGTCACAGGTTGACTACTCCAGGAGATAACAGTAAATGGAATCAGATGAGTGTCTCAGGGCTTTCAGAACAGGTGGAGACCTTCTGAGGTTTTCTTCTGTTCTATGACACACTGTGTGTGTAAGAGTTACTTGAAGTTCTGGTCATTACGAACAATGCTGAAGCTATCTGATTTCATCTTAGTGGCATTTTAACCTTTTTCAAACTGAGTTTCCACTGCTTTGTGAATGTTTAGGGTTTTGGTTTTTATAGGTAATAATGTAATGGAACTGCAGAACTTCGAATTATGAATCAGACCAATAACTCATCTGATTTAGGCTGTGAGTTCTGTGAATCCTGAGATGCTTTTGTTTGTTATTTTTTGCCCTGTGGCCATTTAATTTAGCTTGAATTTGGATCTACGTCAGTGTTATGATGATGATTGTTCTGGCTCAAGATACCTAACGGAGATCCTTCCTAATTGTTATTGCAACTTTAACTACTTGACTGAACATGCTGCTGCAGCGTTCTGTCATAGCACTTAACTGGGAAGCCAAAGCCTTGAAGCCTGACTGCAGGAAAGGTAGAATTTTTCAGCATGGTCAATACTTTTCCCTAAGTGGTTATACATTCTCAGTGCTCTTATGCATCTCGCTATTTTAACTTGCTGGCAGGTAATTTCTGAAATAGTGTGTGCCAGATACTAGAAAAGACAGCTTTTTATGAAGCTGCAGGCCTGCTTCCTAGACAGTATTGTTGTCTGCAGTCATCGGTGTGCACTGTCCCTGCTTTGTGGAACCTGAGGAATTCCAGTCTGCCCTCCAGCATCCAGCAGCTCTGTACCTTTTTTTTTTTTTTTTTTTTTAAATCTCCAGCTTCCAATTGTGAAGGGATTTCTAGTTCAATCTCTACTAAAATGTCTACAGGTAACATGTCATGTTTCGTTGGCGTGTTTCTGTGATCTGAAATATGAATTGGATTCTCTTGGTTACATCTGTCAATAACACCTCTCTATTTTATCATCCATTTCTTTAAAACTGTTGGCTCAGGAAAATTCCCAGGCAATTTGTAGTGAGGTTCTACTTAGCAGCAGTTTATGGTGCCAAGGTGAATTGTGAGAGCCATTGCTTTTCCTATAAGACCAGATGTAGTAAAAATAGATTTGACTTGGATTGTCAGCTCAACTAAAAGATACTGTTGGTAGATGAGGAAAGTGATAATAGTTTGGAATGAGTACATAACTGCTGCTTCTGTACAGTAAACACAAATGTTTACTTTGCTCATGGGGCCAATGTTTCCTGAACTACAGAAATGAGCACTTTTTCCTTCTGTTTTGCCGTATAGATTAAACTTTGAGCTTCCTTAATGCTGGTCTTTGCTTGATGCCTGCATAGAAGCACTATTAACCTTTATCATAAACATGTTTATCAAAACACGTCGTGCTTATGGGCAGTAATGTTTTGGATTGCCATCCAGGGGGTCTTTGTTTTGTAGGCTGATGGGGTAGAAGAATGCTTAGAAAGTGTCTGTAACACTTCGTAGCGCTGCATGTTTCTGGCAGGTTGTCATCTTTAATTGTTCCAGTCAATCTGCATTTAGTTTCAGGTTGGACAAATATTTTTGAAGTCTGCCTCCCACCCCTAAGATCTGGTCCTGTTCCAGCTGTGCTTCCATCATGTAGTCTTGAGCCTGTAACTGGTGGAAATGTTTCTGATGAGCTGTCATAAATGTTTTTGACAAGATGGAAATAGAATTTAATGTGCCATTTTGTCAATAACAAAATATAATTGTAGCTAGTGTTTTAATATTGGGTGGCTGTCTAGAGGGTTGTGCTATTACTCTTTGCGGGTGTAGAATGTTTTTCTGTTTGCTGCAGAACCTCAGCAATTGAATATCCTTGTGCTTTCCAAACACTTTGCTAAAACTTTAGTGCCACGTTCATTGGCAGCGTCTTCAGAGTGCCTCTCAAACAGAGCCAACCAGACATATTGGGCCGGATCGTTGTGCTGTTCCACAGCCAACTTTGGCAGTCAAACTCAGCCGTGGTTAACATTGTTACCCTGTCTTTCAGCTTGGTAGCTTGTGTGCCAAACACAACCCCAACAGGAGTTTGACATAATGGTGAAACAGGAGTGCATGGAATGCTCTGACCTTGCTTCCAGCATTGTTCTCAAGTACATAGGACGAAGTAAAAGTTGCAAACCTTCATTCGTGAGCAGTGGAAAAATGTCCTACTTTATTACCTGCTTATTTTGTACATAAAGAACTATCGAAATATCTACAAATTTTCCATCTGAGCTTAACCACTAAATCTCATTCTTACAATCTATCAGTAAAAGAGAAGATCAGCACCTTCTACAATGTGGTAAATCTCTTCTGCTTTCTAGAAAAACTAAAGTCGTCCTTCTTTCTAGCAGTACATGAGCTTCTGTAATATAATGGCAAGAGAAGTGCTTTGCAGCTGTGACAGTTCACAAACTGAACTGATGCACTCTGTGACTTTGAGGGGAAAAAAAAGAAAAGAAACAACACAAGAACAACCAAGAAACAGGAAAACAACCCTACTGATTGATGTCTGGGAAGTACTGTCTGTGGGGAAAGTGACAAGGTCCTAAAGGATTTGTACTGTGACAGCTGTAAATAGCAACGTGATTCAGGTAACTGGGAGTGAAAAGAGTATGTGGCACAAGAGTGCTAACTTCACTTTCTGTGTGGCAATTCTTTCTGAATGTGCTTTGGTTTTTGTGCATGTGTTGCGTTTAGAACTGTGAAGCTCGGTTCTTAATGCCTTTTGATCTTGAATAACTTGAGGTAAATATGAGCTTCACAAATATTTACATCTGCTCTAAAGTAAAAAAAAAAAAAAAAAACAAAAAAAAGCCAACAGTATAGTTTACTGTTATGTAAATACTTCCTTGTAAATGCTATTGAGTTTCCCCAGTGTGCAAATACAATGTCTGTGGTAAACAAAGACTGTACAGTACTTAGTGTAAGATCCTACAAGCACAGGGTATGGCCAAGCTGCTCTTTTTGCCATAGCTAATACCATATCTTACTCCTTTGATCACATAACAAATGCTTCTTCTCCAACTTGACAGTTTTCAGGCTGCAAGGTTTCGTTCTTCAGTGTTTGTTCTTTTGAGTGGAGAAATTTTATGTACTCTGCATTGGCAGAAGGAAACTGAGGTGTTAGCAACAAAACCATTAAGCTTCATTTTGGGGCAGGGAAGTAAATGTAGGGCTGCAGATTTATTACTAATGATGAGCAGAAGTTTGCCTGTAGCTGAAAACTAATCTGTAAGGTAAAAATGGGGTTTCTCGGTAGAAGCATATGAAGTTCCAACACAATAACAGGTGACTTGCAGTGTGCTGGCAGTGAAAGAGAACTGTGGCTGTAACTATTTGCTAATACTTCAGTGTTTCTATTAATGAGCTGTTAGGGGACTTCAGCAAGCTGCAAGAAGGTGCTAGGAAAGAAAGACTGAAAGAAGCTGTGAAATAGTGACTGTTGGCAAGTAATCCTAGGTGTGTTGCTCTGGCTTTGCTGGTCTTCCCCTTCTGTATCTGCGGAGACTCCTCTGTTGATGAAGAACTCTGGCATCAGTTGCACGCTTAACTCTAAGAGTTGCCTTCACCTTGAGATGCTGTTGGACTGCTTGCATTGCTATTACAGAAGTGAAGCACCTGCCACATTGGCTGCCTGTGGGCTTTTTTTTTTTTTTACTGTTCATTTACAAGTGCATTGATGCTAGAAGAAATAGTTAATAGTCCATTTATTCCTGTGCTTGGCAGGCATGTGTATGTCTGCATAATGGACCAGGGAACTGATGCAGCTTAACACTGACCAAATTTTGAAGAATATCTTAAAGCTCTGTCTGCCCTCCAGTTTAACTTGCTGTGTTGTTGGCCAGTTCCTCATGGCAGAGCAGGTGGGAGCAGCTAGTACTAGCTAGCAATTAAAAGTCTTCCTAACAAATAGATCTGAAAGGTGCACTTTTAAGACTCAAATATGGGTTTTTTGAGTGTATTCTTTCTTTTGGAAAGTAGTTTTCACGTCCTTGTCTTGTCATGTTCTGTGTTATTACCCTGTTCCTTACAGAAGCAGAGACCTATGTTTTAAATTTGAAGATCTGTAGCCTCATTGATCCTATGTTAGCCTGTGCTTTGGAAACGTAGCTTTCATCTTTCAGAACAAGCAAGAAGAGGCTGTTTTG